ATCTAGGGGACGCTTTCGCATTTGACAAGTGCCCAAATCACTTAGCTGTCGAATGATGTACTTGCGCCGACAAGTATGTGGGAATATGTTGCCATGATCTGGAGCGTCGGGCGTAAGTCGCCGTGAGACTTGAAAGGTCTAGCTCACTTAAATTGAAAACTTCCTCAAGGATGCTATGCGTTCACCACTGATCCTGTTGCAGACATTGTTACCCTGAATGCGTAATGATGCTTAGATGAGATTTTTGATATGTGACATGTTTGCCCAATTTTGTTTCGAGATGGAGCGGATTAGATAATTCTATTTAATCGGATTATCTTTGGGACAAGCAAATTCACAGTCCCATATTTTACTGGAGCAAGTTTCCCTTCCTGTTTCGAAGAGAGTGTGACCGGCTGATTTAACTGTCTTCTTGTCTGTACATACGGTCGCCTAGAAAACTCGGCATCCCATCCTGTCCGATTTTCACGGTAAATTTTAGCATTTTGTGCCATAGAAATGTCGACAAGGACTAGACCGTGTGAACTTCCAACTACTACTCTACTAGCACGCGCAGAATCGAGAAACCGAGAATTGAACATTTCCAATGCATATTTCCGACAAGCCCCAGAGGATGTCAGGGTGTCGTCAAGTTGCAGACGCCTGGGCACATACGAAGGCTACCGTTTCATCGGATGATTATAAGTCCAAAGAGACCTGTGTTTTTAGAAAATGTTAAGGTCGCTAATTTTTCCAGTAAAATGACAGATGCAGTTGATTGTGTAAGTCTCAAGCCTATATCAAACTGGTCTTATTTTCCGGATAAGCCACTGAGCTAGCTCGTGCTGGTCAGTGGCCAATACCATGAAATGCTGGTCGAAAACCTGAAATGCATTTTCGATTGGATAGAATTACTTAGGTGGGCTTGCAATATTAATTATCACGCTACATACTGCCCAGATATTTCGGACTAGCCAGGGTGGTGACTCTTAAATACACCTATTTGTGACCTCTTATAAAAATCATACTCGGTGAAAAATTACTACCTAAGTAATCTGTCTTTCCCATAGATTTTCTATTCCCCTAAAAATTCAAATATATTTCTTAGAAAGCATGCAGAAAAATTTGCTTTCTCTTGTCCATTTAGTAGCAGATTGCATCGTCTTCATACTTTATACTCGAGGAAGGAGCATAGTTAAATTTTGAAGACGTTTTCCAATTCCCGCATAATTTTGAGCCAGATCAGCCTTTTTACTAGCGTTTAGCGGTCTCAGTCCACAATATGCATACTTTCTATGTAAAAAATAATGTATTCCGCTATTCATTTAAGAAGATACAATTTACAGTTCATAAAATCCTGCAATTGGTGCGGACTATGTTGTCTACTTCATGAGGAGAATTAATAAATGCCAGGTACGATGCTGTATGCATGGACCTTGCACGGTCTTAAAAATCCCATAATTCGAAAGTTTTCAAAACCGAAAGGTACTCTTTCTTATATTATAAAACGTGAAGATGATGTGATTTGCTGCCAAATGACTGAAAGAAAGCCTATTTTGCCTGTTTTCTATGAAATATATTTGATTTTATAAGCACATGGAAAATAAATGGCAAAAAGCATATTATTTAAGCAGTCATTGTTTACCTAGTGTGGTTTCTACAGGAGGTCCGAAAAAAGTACACTTAAAAGCCGACATCCTGGAGAGTCCAAAACATTATGAGATTATACCACGTGATAACCAATATTACACCCGTACCTCAGCAATCCTTCCTAATCGAAAACGCATTTCAGAATTTCAGCTAATATTTCATGAGATCAATCATTAACTTTAGCTGTTAGCAAAGTCGAGCATAGTGCCCCATACTTCCTGTACGTAATCTAAAAATGTATGCGCCTAAGTATTTTAGAGATGGGACGTTCAATTTATCGGTCAGTTTTTGTGAAATATTGTATTTTTGTAATCTTTCAGACTAAGTCGGTGCCGTTTTGGTTTTGATTTTTCTTAATGAAATCCAAACGGATTAGTTAAAATAGATTCGTGATTTCAACAACAAAAAGGTTTCATGGCAGACTTTGGAAAATTCGGACAGCACAAACCGGAGAAGACATACCGCCAGATTGAATCGTATCGTCGGTTTTGCCATTTGGTGTTGGATGCTATATAAACTAAGTTATGGCAGCCATGCCTGCCAGCCTTGCAAGTAATCAGCAGTCCCCCATCTCCTCTTTAAATTTCCGCGAAAGCTCTTCTAAGATTACAAATCAAACCTTTGTTCGCAGACCTTTTGCTTAACTGTAGTGGGCCCGTCCTACTAGTCACTTACGAGAGCATGTGGATTAGTAGCACAGCTGGCAGATCTGTCCTCGATGGCTCGGCCGGTAGAGCAAATGGCGCGCATTCGGGAGTTAATCTGGAGATACACAATGCATAAAAAACCTTTTTTCCTTTCGAAACCCCCCAGTCGTCAATAAAATGCTTTGCCGAATCAAACAGTTCCGATCCTGTTTCCCAGCCACGTTCTCTCTTCTGTCCACTGACGTCTGGCTGCTCCTTGCACGATAGGCAGTTATTCTAACCATACCTTAGAATGATGCACCTCCCAGAATGCCGTTCTATGAAGGTAGAAATTTACTCACGAAATCTGAGTTGTAAAAAACCTTATTAATTTAGTCTAGACGCACTTTGAACCTAGGAGCAAAGTTGCTAACGTCAAATGTCACATTTCTTCTGTGGGCAGTTGTCCTGTAAACCATTCTATTCAACTACGCTACTACCTGAATTGTCGTTCAATAGGATGGAATTTGCACCCTGAAACCGGCCGACTGATTTCTACTACGCTAGCGACATCGCCATTCTATCCCCAAGCTTTGGTGACCTACAGTTTCTGGTATCAGGCCTCTAAACCTGCCGGTTTATTGAAAAACGCTGGAAGAATTAAAATGTTTTTTAAGTCGCATCGCTAACCAGGAAAAGGCACTTTTTGAGATTAATGACTAATAGCTTAAAGACATGGACAGTATTAAATGCTCAGAGGCAAGGCGGCCGCCAGAGAGACAGAATTAGAACGATGTATCCCTCAATCAATGCCGCTCACAAGGCTTTCACAATCCTTAGAAAGTGCCCATGGATCACATGAGACTTCACCATCGCCACAAAGATCCGCCACTGGCGGTTATCGATGCTGGGCTGTGAGTATGGAAGACGAACGAACGCAGGAGGTGTCTGATCACCACTGCCTAATAGTCATTCTTCGAATAAAGTACCCTGACTTGATTTAAAACGACATAGCTGTCACAAAATCCCGAGTACGCCTTATGAAATCGAAAAATGACAACTGAGGGAAAGATGACAAAGGCAGTCTTAGCACTTTCTTCCTCACCGGCGTCATGAGCTGTGTGTTGCCGATATCCATCTGGTGCCGTTGCCCACCTGGAGGCGTCGAAGGGGAGATCAGTTCAGAACCTGGCTCGACACAGTTGGCTAAGACATGGAAAGTTCCTTGGGCCTTCTGTGCTCGGTCTTCTCTGCTGGAGGGGGAATGCGTTGAGATCTCTAGATCCGCTGCCGCAGATCGTCATGCGTGGCGTGATACAATCCGCGACTTCATCGAGGTCGATTAAATCGGACAAGATTACACCTAAGTGAAGAAGAAGAGTCGAGCACCGGAACGATTCGTTTATTATCCTGAGCTTTCAGACTCGTACAGGAGTCCATCGTCAGAGGTAGTGGCAGAAGCAGGATAGGCGACAGTTACAAGGCACGTAGGCCCAATCATCGACCGACGTCGCACGACTGGAGGTGACTACGAAGGGCTCTGTACGCCGGCGCCAGATCGATAAATCGATTGACCGCGTTCTCATCCGAGGCCCAGGCTTCAATCAATTCTCGGCCTGTCTTGTTTCCGGCGTGGGCGACTATATTGGTGGCTGCGAAGTCAAACTCGTGACCCATTTCGTAGGTGTGGGCGGCCACTTGTGGTAGTGCGTCGCCTCGCCGTACAGCCAGCTTATGTTCGTGTATGCGCGATCCGAGCATGCGTCCAGTCTGTCCTGTGTAATTACAAGGACAATTTTGACACGGAATGCGATACACTACTCCAGATTTCTCTTCAGGTTTTAACCGGTCTTTAATTTTCATGACCCTGCTGCGCATGGTGGCTTTGGGGCGGTGTGCAATTCCAACACCTAGCTCCGCAGCAATGCGCTCGGTCGCTTCTGAAACACCCTTGATGTATGGCAGAGAATGCCATATCGTCGGTGGCGTTGATGTTCGAGTTCTCTGGTGGCGACCGCGTAGGCAGCGACTTATGAATGCCCTCGGATAGCCATTTTGCACAAACTGGTCGCGGAGATAACGGGCCTCACGTGCTCTGTCCTCCGGTTCGCTGCAATGACTTTGGATCCGTTTGAAGAGCGTCTTCACACAGCTTCGTTTGTGAGCCACCGGATGGTTGCTGTGAAAACTCAGAAGCTGTGTGGTGTTCGTAGCCATCCTATAAACAGTCGTTTCAAGTTCACCGTTAAGGTTTCGTCTGACGAGCACATCCAGGAAGGGCAACTGCTGTTCCTGTTCTTCTTCCCTCGTGAATTTTATATCAGGGAAGACTGCGTTGAGCAGGCTGTGGAAATGTTGAAGCATGTCCTTCTTTACTATGATGAACGTGTCGTCTACGTAACGGCGCCAAAACACCGGTTCATGTTGGACGAAGGCAATCTTTTCTAACTCCTGTAGGACCAGTTCTGCCACCAAACCAGAGACCGGTGAGCCCATTGGGGTTCCCTTGATTTGTGCATAGGTCTCTCCCGCAAAAGTGAAGAAAGTTTGTTGGCAGAATTCAAACAACCTCATGAGGTGTTCAATTTTGAGGGCATTCTGAGTCTCATCGTACGACTCTTCAAGTCTCTTGCGTAAGACTTCGCGGGCCACGTTTGGTGGGATGGATGTGAATAACGACGTCACATCGAAGGAGACCATGATTTCGTCCGACTGAATCCTCCGACCTCGGAGGTCTATGAGGAATTAAGAGGCTGGTCGAACTGAGGTAGTCGGATTGCCTTGGAGGAACTTCAGTTTTGAGTGCATCCACTTTGCCAAATTGTAGGTGGGGCTGCCTTTTAGGGCAACGATTGGCCGAAGTGGGACATTTGCTTTATGGATTTTTGGCAGACCATAGAATCGGGCTAGAGCAGTGTCAGTTGCCCTCATTTGGTGCCATTCATTCTCCGTGATCACATTTTCATGTCGGTATTCTCTAAGCAGTTTACTCAGCCGATCTGCCACTGTTTTGGCTTGTGACTTCTGTGCTGGTCTGTAAAATTCCCTGTCATCAAGAAGGGCTTTAGCTTTTTCATTATAGTCTTCTCTATTCATCAAGACGGTTGATCGTCCCTTGTCAGCAGGTAGAATGATAATGCTGTCGTCCCTCCTCAGTTCTCTCACAGCTTTTGACTCACTCTGCGAAATACATTTGGTTGGTCTGTGTGTCATCAGCAAGGAAGTAACACGCTGTCGGACGGAGTGTTTCATGTCGTCGGATGTTTCACTTCTCACGAGCATAGCTTCCAGGGCTGCAATGAAGTCGACAGGATCGGCATCTGCAGTGTTGAAACAAGTCTCATGCTGTAGCACTCGTAGTTGCTGCTCTGTTAGCTGCTTAGACGAGAGGTTGTGGACCAAGTTTGAGCTTTCTGTGACTGGTGGTTTTAGCTTAGTCAGTTTCCATTCCAAAACTTCTCTCTTCTTGGCTTGCCTGTGGTGTGTCAGAGCAGAGATCGTGTTCCCAAGATCTGCGGCGATAGAATCGCCGAGAGTGTGGACACACTGCCTTCTGTTCTGCTCGATCTCAGCCTTGTACTTCTGCAAACGCCGATGACAGTAGTCGATCAGAACTCTTGTCATCTGTTTGACAAAACGCCTCACAACTTCTCTTCCCATGACCGTATTAACAGGAGCTTTATATCTCAGGCATCGTGGGGTTAGTTCGTCTTGGAGACATCGGTGCAGAAAACGTAACTGTTCGTATGTTGCTGCCTCTCGTGTAGAGAATAACTCCCAGCTGCGAGCTGTCCGAAGCGCATCGCGGCCGAATTTTTCACGAATGAAGGCGAAATTTCGAGTTCCAGGTATATGCATAAGTGAAGAAGAAGAGTTGAGCACTGGAACGATTCTTTTATTATCCTGAGCTTTCAGACTCGTACAGGAGTCCATCGTCAGAGGTAGTGGCAGAAACAGGATAGGCGACAGTTATAAGGCACGTAGGCCCTACACCTATATTGAGTTTAAGTAAATGCGTAACAGGACTTTGGCATCTCCGAGTATTTTTGTCGGCCTTTGCTTTATACAAACACTGACCGCTGCTTTCGGAGAATTTGGACTGTGTATTTGGCTTACTTCCAAAATATGGCTTCCGACAGTACTCCTGGCCTTGTTAGTAACACCTCGCCAGCACTGATCGTCATCTGACATTTGACCGCCTGCGTGGGGACGGAAAACCATTATCTCCGATGTAAAATGTAACTTAAACTAACAATCAGGATTGATCGGTTATACATCAATCCCATGGAATGCAAATGTTGCATTTTATGTGTATGTTTGTCGCCCTGATCGCTGTGGGCAAAAAATGAGAACATTTAATTTATCACTTTGCGATAGTGTGTGTGTAGTCAGCGTCAGATTGTGTGTACATCACATCATTCACTTGTTAGGAACGGCGTGCGCCAAAGTTGGTCCTGACTTAAACATGCCTTTAAGAACTCCATAAGTGTCTATGTCGATTTCAAGTTCTAAACGACAGATCACCTAACAACTAAAAAACTGTTCCAGTTGGCTGGGAGTTGACAGGGAATCAAGGCCACACAATCTCAAATCTAGCTACAAGATATGTGCGGACTGCTCAAAAAATGTAGAGAGGCTGAGATTGGCGGAAACCTGTCGCAACGTTTCATTTAGCCTAAAACATTCCCACTAAAGGGCTTGCTGACACTGCACTTGGCGTGATACTCTCGCCCGTTGAGACCACCTAAGATATGCTGTCTGCTCGAAATTCATTAGGTCGCATGAGACCTAGGTGTAAGATCGCATGTTTATTTGTTTTGGTTATTTTGCCATTTGTCCTTGTATTACCCAACTTTGCTTTTGCAGGGTCAACACAGGCAATTTAAAGATTGCGTACGGAAAAAGGAGTCGCAACACAAAATAGATATCTGTTACATTCATTTTTCGAAATCGCATCATCAACCACAGCTCAACATTTCACAATAAAAGGCGATGTTCACCTTTCTGTACAACGGTTAACGTCTTCCAGAAAGGGCAAAATGCTCTCTTTTCGTGCCATCTTGAGGAAGGTAACATATAACAAAACGGTGCACCGAAGTATTTCATGTACAAACGTACTACACTTAATAATGGCGTTCGGAAAATATTGAAAGTTGTCAAAGACTGCAAAAAGACCTGAACTGCCTTAAAATTATTACCAGTACTCATGCGATTCGCTCTACACTTTAGGCCACGACATACCATCTTCTCTAGTGACAATAACTTAAGGTTAAGGGAGTTATGTATGCCCAGGACACTAACGATACTCGTTTTTGCATACGTGGTAATTTGAGTCTATACTTTCCTATTTAATGGATTCGCAAACTGACAAGTTCGTCATAAATGAGAGGCCTGTATCCATATAAGGGTCGCAGTTTGCACTAATTCTCTGGACATTCTCCAGAAAATTAAAATGTGTTTAAAAGATATCAAAGTACGACACAAATGCACTGTTCATAGGAGACAGAATATAAACAGGGAGCAACAAATTAAATACGGGCACGCAACTTAAGGATTTCTGGCGATTGAATGTGCTCTCAGCACATCGGTTTTAGGGCAGAAAAATAATGCCATCGTCCGGAATTGGCAGGTTTTTTCAACAGCCCAATAACGAGAGATCAGTATAGACTTTGGGAGTTTTAAGGTATTAATGATAATTTTGAAAAAGACGCTATGTTGAGACTCTTAGTCTGCCATTAGTTATGAGACGGATACATCTGTGTGTCATCCTAGGAAAAATCCCACCGATTTTTTATGCTGCATAGCGACTGCAATTTCAAGACATCCAAAAACGACAAATAATTAATTCCCACTTGCAGAATCGGTTCTGTGCGTTTGCAGAAAATGAGGTAATGCGTTCGCGCTTCAGAATAATAGTAGATGGGGATTTTGCTGACCAGCCAGTAAACAATCTAACGTTTGGTAGAGGGGTGCTCACCGATCGTTCTTACGGAACTCACCTGTTCCGTTGTGCATGACGGGCTCTCTCTCGATCCCAACCAGCGCCCGCACAGCTGCATATGATATAGGCAGAATGTTATGGCCGGTTAAGACAAGGGAGACTGGAATGGCCATTTCTGGCTTATAAGCCGTCGTCAGCCAGTCTACCATTGCATATTCCCGGTCGAAACCGACAGGACGATGAGTCCGTGGCTCAGTGGTTAGGAGCGTTGGACTTTTGACTAACAGGTCGCGAGTTCGAGCCTCGGGTGTTCCACACCTCGGTGTGGGGTATGACTGGCTGACGACGGCTAATAAGCCAGAAATGGCCATTCCAGTCTCCCTTGTCGTTGTCGGCAATAACACGCAATGTAACGTTTTTCCAAAAATCGGATTTTTTGCCGCCCAAACCCAGTTAATGAGACCAAGCCGTTACGATTTACATTACTTATCCAACACTCCTTTCCACAATTCACTAAAGAAGCGGCAAACAGTTACTGTGCGCAACCGATCTCACGAAATGTTGACCAAAATTTTGAAATGCGTTTCCGATTAGGAAGGATTGCTTAAGTGGGGTTGTTATGCTGATTATAATGCAGCATAACCCTATGACAATTCAGACTCACCGGGATGTCGGCTTTTGGATGCACTTATTTTTGACCTCCTGCAGAGCCCACACTCGGCAAAAAATGACTACTTATGTAGCATGTATTTTTCGTATTGATTTTCTATGGTCATATAAATTCAAATATATTTTGCGTAAAACATGCGCAAAAATATGCTTTCTGTTGCCCATTTGGAAGGAAATCACGTTATCTTCACATTGTATGCCCGAAGACAATGTGTATTTAGGTTTTAAAAAATTTTCCCAATTCCCGAATAATTTTTAGCCTGATCTGTCATTGCATCAGCGTTTAGCAATTTCAGTCTACAAGGTGCATGTTTGCCGCTTAGGGAAAATCATATATTCCTCTATGCGTTAAGAAGATATCACATTGAGTTAATGAAATTTTGCAATGGATCCGGACTGTGTTGCGCATTTGATGAGGAGCATTAGTAAACGGACATGTGCGGTCTTGCATGCATGGACATCGCAGAGGTTTTAAAATCTAACAATTAGAAAATTTTTTAAAACCTAAATATACACTTTATTCGGGCACAAATTATAAAGCCAATGTGATTTCCTGCCAAGTGAGCGAAGAAAAGCATATTTTTGCGCATTTTTTCCGCAAAATATATTTGAATTTATAAGACCATCAAAAATCAATAGGAAAAAGGCATGCTACTTAAGTAGTCATTTTTGCCGAGTGCGGTTTCTGCAAGATGTCAAAAATAAGTGCATCCAAAAGCCGACATCCGGCGAGTCTGAATTGTCATAGGGTTATGCTGCATGATAATCAGTATAACAACCCCACTTAAGTAATTCTTCCTAATCGGAAATGCATTCCAGAATTTTTGCCAACATTTCATGAGATTGGTCACGCACTGTAGATACAGGATGATTGGTAATATTGCTAGGCACCCATAGTGCTGAAATTCCACTGGAGATACTGTTTGCGTTTCACTTAGAGAGATAATAAACTACTGCAAACTGTGTCCACTGAAATCGGCGAGAAGCTGAGCTCTTCGGTAGTTTGGAAAGGGTGATATTACTTATGTTGTTCTCACGAACAAGCTGCCTACATCTTACGAACCTTACGTGGGAACGACAATGACAGGAACCGGTAGGTGAGTAAATTTAATATTCAAGATGTCCAACGACCTCATCATAAAGCGCGCAAGCGTTGCAGGAACAGGACAGTCAAGATAAATGGACGAGGTCAATTGGTCCGACACCTCGTCAGAAGAGTATACTCGGAAAAGAAGAGTACCCAGTCGATATTGAGAGTGCGTAGGAGCCCAATTAAGTAACAGCTTTGGTTTCGAAAGGAGTTGTTGGAGTCCTCCAGTAGTCAGGACTCCATGATCGTTAGCGATCAAGCTTCCCAAATGTACGTCGGAATAGATCTGGTGAGGGTGTCGCTGACTCCAGACTACGATACAATCTGCACTCAACTTTTAGAAATGTTGGGCTCTGTTCAAACTTGGAGTGGCTTTAATTAATGGAGTCACTGCCTCACAACTTAATCAAATTCCCACGGTAAGGCTTGTGGGCATCTTATCATTTCCCCATGTGTCGTCCGCCTCTGGGACTGAAAATATACTTTGAACCAGAATCTTAGACAGATTTTCCGTCACTCCGCATGCAAACTCGACAAGCCTTTGCATGTACCCTGCGAGGCCATTATCAAGAAGTGAATCAAGGCAGCGCTCGAGGTTGCCCAGTCGTGTTTTGATGAAGCCAGACAGGGCAGTGTTTTCGAATCCTCTGACCAGTGGGGACAGGCTAACGAGACGAAGTCCCAGGCTAGATGCAAGTAGACGTCCCAAACAACAGCCAGTCCTTCATTTCCTCTGCCAGAACTGAACAACTACAGACGATTATCATAAACTTATGCGCGTGGTGCCTACAGCTTATGGTCTCATGCAACCGCACATGCAATCCCGAAACTCGCCTGATGAATTGTCATGAAACCAAAAAATAGTCGTGGAGCGAACCCAATTGCGTACCATGCAGTTATGAATAAAAGATGCATTTTGTCCGC